AACCATATAAAACTTAGAAATCAAATGAAATCATGAACAATATAGAGTGCAAATGAAAGTATAATTTGTATTTATAGGTGAAAAATACTAATTCCAAAGGAAAGTATAATAATTTGTAATTAAGGTAATAACTTATTATTATTATTATTATTATTATTATTATTATTATTATTATTATTAATTATAATTCTGACGGAATATTTCTTAGCATTAAAATGAGTACGTGTATATATAATTTCCATATGCATACCCTAACAATTACAACTACATTTCACAGGATTATTTATGAATTTAATTATTAATTATATATAGAGTACCATAATATTCTTTCCATAAACTTCACACACAGAATATTTATAAATTTACATAATTGTCCCTAAGTTTTGGGGGGAAAATTTGGCTAGGAGGATTTTACTTTTATATATATATATAGATTCAAACAACTAATAGTGGTCAAATAAACCAAAATAACCTATAAATTAACTATTTTACCAAACATGACCATAAATATCACGGATGCAATATGTCATTTCATAATTAATGCCAAAACTAATGTATGTCATTTCATAATTAAGGCCAAAACTAATGCAATATGTCATTTCATAATTAAGACCAAAACTAATGCAATATGTCATTTCATAATTAAGGCCAAAACTAATGCAATGTTTCATTTCATAATTAAGTTAGGCCAAAACTAACCAAAACCTTTACTCTCTTAGCTTTTCAAATTTTGGCATCCAAAATTGGTTTATCAATTAATTCAATTTAATTATAGGCACACAATATTTCTATAGGGACACATAATCTAAGGGTCCGTTTGGAAAGTAAAAAAATGACTTCTGGAAAATGTTTTCTGAAAAATGAGTCATTTTCTGGAAAACATTTTCCTTTCCAGTGTTTGGTTGCATTCAGGAAAACGGTTTTTGTGTGTTTGGTTCATTTTCTGGAAAATGAGTAGAATTGTATAATTAAACATTTTAATTAATATTTTATTTAGAATATTACAACATGTATAATAATATAATAATAATTTTAAATATAATAAAAAATAACTAATAATATATCAAAAATATTATGATGGTGGTGGTGGTGTAGTGGTAATGGTGTTATTTGTTATATATTAATAATAATAATAATAATAATAATAATAATAATAATAATAATAATAATAATAATAATAATAATAATAACTGGTGGTGGTTGCAGTGGTATGGTGGTGGTGGTGGCGGCGACGGTAGTTGCGATGGTATAGTGGTGGTGGTGGTGGCGGTGGTTGCATGGTCATGGTGGTGGCGGCGACGGTGGTATGGTGGTGGTGGTGGCGGTGAGTCGGTGACGGTGGTATGGTGGTGGTGGTGGCGGCGACGATGGTATGGTGGTGGTGGTGGTGGCGGCGACGGCGACGATGGTTGCGGTGGTATGGTGGTGGCAGCGGCGACGGTGGTGGTAGTGCTGGTGGCGGTGGTTGCGGTGGTATGGTGGTGGTGGTGGCGGCGGCGGTGGTAGTGGTGGTGTGGTGGCGGTGCTATGGTGGTGGTGGCGGCGGCGACGACGATGGTTGCGATGGTATGGTGGTGGCGGCGGCGGCGGTGGTAGTGGTGGTGGTGGCGGCGACGGTGGTTGCGGTGGTATGGTGGTGGTGTGGTTGCGGTGGTATGGTGGTGGTGTGGTTGCGGTGGTATGGTGGTGGTGGTGGCGGCGACGATGGTTGCGGTGGTGGTGGTGGTGGTGGTAGTGGTTGCGGTGGTATGGTGTTGGTGGTGGTGTGGTGGCGGTGATGGTGGTAGTGAGGTGGTGGTGGTATGGTGTTAATGATGTTGGTGGAGGTGTGATGTTGGTGTAAAAGTTGAAAAATGACTTCCCCCGAAAAAAGGGGAAGTCATTTTCCTCCAAAACAAGCCTATTTTCCAAAGTCAACGGAAAATGATTTCCGTTGACTTGATTTTCCAGGCACATCCAAACAATGGAAACTTGAAAAATGATTTCCAGAACTCATTTTCCATGTTTCCAAACACACCCTAAATATCGTTTTGAACTAAGACCGCTAGTGAGACTCGATCTTTAGTCTCTTATAACAAATTTTACATTTGTGACCAATTGAGTTATTCATGTGAACATACAAACATGTTAGAAGGTTTGTGATTTATGAACTATATAACCCGTGTTTTGACTGAGGATACGGGCTCCCAGTCTGATCTACAATTATACAATTTTTTATTGGGAAAATGGCACTTTTTCCCCCTGAGTTATATACCTATAGTATTTTTTCCCCCTAAGTTATTGAAGTGGTTGTTTTTCCCCCTGAAATATTAAATGGACATATTTACCCTTAAACTAAATATTTAATTTATTTTTTTCTCCAACAAATTATGACCATAATTTGGTTCAAACTAAACAAACACTATAGCAACCAAACCGAAATATTCCAATTACAATTTAGAATCGAAATTCGATATTTAGAGTTTATTAAAATCGTGAACCGGAACGGACGGTTCATGTTCCGAAAAAAAAAATACATTTATTGTTGAATTTAGACTATTTTAAAATAAAGACGGTTCAAAACCGCGAATCAGATCCGGAACCGCCGGTTCACGGTTCAAGATTCAATTTTTTGATACATAATTTTAATAAATTGACATTTAAATATTGGGTTCTAGATCTGAATTATAACCGTAAACTATTAATTCGATTGCTTTAGTATCCGGTTCAATTCAAATCGAACCGTGGTCATCCCTACGTATACGCAATAATTTGTTGGAGTAGTAAAATAAATAAAATGTTTACTTTAAGGGTATAAATGTCAATTTAATATATCAGGGGGAAAAAGCACCACTTTTAGAATAATTGAGGGGGCTAATGTGCTTACCTAAATAATTGAGGGGGAAAAAGTGCTATAAGTATATAACTCAGGGGTAAAAAGTGTCATTTTCCCTTTTTTATTTGTGACTTTTTTGTTCCAAATTAATGTTATTTGTTAAAGAGTTAATTATCAATTTGGTCCCTCGACTATAGTGAAAATACCAAATTGATCCTCGACTTTTTTTGACCGATTAAGTCATCAAGTATTGAATTTATGTTTGAAATAGTCCTCCATTAATTTGAGTGATAAATGACCGTCTCTTTTTAGAGCAAAATAGAACTTTCACTCTTTTCCTTCATTCTTTCTTCCTAATTAACATTTTCATCTTTCAATTTGTGAGTTTCAACAGGCGGCGGCGGATTAGAAGACGTGGATAGAAAAGAAAAAATATGATTCTAGTGAATGATTATACTGTTTTTGTTCCATTATGCAAAGAGAATAACCAGTTGAAGAAGGCTTTCATCTTGAACAAATACAGAACACAAATCTCATGGTTAAAAATGTAAGATTAGAAGAGAATAATGTTGAAAAGATTACAATATTACCCACATGCCAATGTATTATCAAATAGAAAGACACAATGAAACAAAATAGAGACAATGGCTTGTAAGCCACACAACTTTCAGGCCAAAGCTACCTAAAAACTGCAATCTTTTCAAGTTTTTCCAAACCTCTGATCTTTCCCATAAGATCAGCAGCTCCAGGAAAATCGCCACCTTCGCCGCCGTAAATTTCCTCCGTCTCCACGTCTCCTAATCCGCCGCCACCCGTTGAAACTCACCAATCTGAAAGCTGAAAATGTTAATTAGGAAGAAAGAATGAGGAAAAAAATTGAAAGTTTTATTTGGCACTCAAAAGAGACGGTCATTTAACATCAAAATTGACGGAAGATCATTTCGGACATAAATTCAATACTTAATTACTTAATCGGTTAAAAAAAAAGTCGATAACCAATTTGGTACTTTCGCTATAGTCGAGGGGCCAAAACGGTAATTAACTCTTTGTTAAAGAAGTTTTGTTGAACTTAGTTATAAACTGAGTACAATCCTTTTAATATATGATGGATGATGGATGCTATGTTCGTTTTTTAGAATCGAGCTATTACTAATTTTCATTTATGGAGTAAGTATGCAATTTCTCACGGCATTCAATTTAGTGCCAAATCATTGTCGAACTCTTATTTTGTGTGTTTTTTTTTTTTTTTTTTTTGGTACATCTTATTTTGGTAATATATAGTTGAGCCTTTGTTACACTCAATTCGGGGATAGGGTATAGACCCTCTTAATTAATTACCATATCATTGGCACAACTTCAATTAATGTGAAAGTCAAGTTATTGATCAAGTGGCTTGTGGTCTACTGATATCGGATTGTTTCCTTTTGTGGGAGGTTTAGATTTCGAGTCTCAGTGTAGACGTACTTTATTTTTAGACTATATTTAGCAAGTGCTCAAGGCAGATTTGGCAGGGGGCAATTAACTCCCTCCCCTACTCCCATTATATATGTAATATGTGTGTCCTCAACTCTAAGGACCCCGGCCCTTAAGAGCATATGGGTCATTGTGCAACTCTATTTTTAGATCATATTTAGCAAGTGCTCAAGGCAGATTTGGCAGGGGGCAATTAACCCCCTCCCCTACTCCCATTATATATGTAATATGTGTGTCCTCAACTCTAAGGACCCCGACCCTTAAGAGCATATGTGTCATTGTTCTCAAACTTCACCTCTGCAACTCATTGAGCTGTTTATGTGGACTCTAATTTTTAATCCATGCCTGGTGTATGTGTATTTCTTTATTTTTTTTTAAATGCATGTTTTGTATGGGTACATGATAAGTTAGCTAAAATGATTCATTGATTCACATCATTTCTCACTCATCCTTTACTTTTGCCACAAGGAGACATGAATGGAGTCTTAAAGTGAAAGATAGCCAAAAAGAGATCAACTCATTTGCAAGCTAGGACAAATAAAGAATCTCTCTAGCTCCCATTCTCCCAAACTCCTAACCTTTTTGTCTTTCCAATTCAAGAAATTAACCATGCATGCGTATATGCCTTAGCTTTTTGATATGATCTTTATATATAAAACCCTACCAACTTCTCATCCACTCCGATCCGATCCTCCCCATTTCCACGCCTCAATATTCTTGATGTTACTTTCTTCCATCCTTCATGTCTCATCAGCTGATTCTTCTCTTTTCCAGAACCGTAACTTACCATTACTACTGGTGCAGGCGATGCCAGAGAACAATGAGGACTGCTTCTTCATCATCAAGTCCATATGAAGTTTCATGTCCCCATTGCTTTGGCCATGCCCAGAATGATCATCATCAGTTTGATGTTCTTGATCCTGCAATTAGGCAAGAAGATCTTCGTGGGCATCCTGGTCGGGTCGTTTTACATGTGAGTGAGTTGATACCAAGTTTAGTTTTCAACTTTAATGATTTTTTTACAAATAATTTTGCTACGTTACTTATGAAGTGCGGGTGAAATAGCGTAAGTCTCGAGTTCAAACTCTATGAATGCAGTTACCTTAAAATCAATGAGTGCTTTAATTTGCCATCCTATGAACATGATTAGTAATAATTTTGTTAAGTTTTAGCCTTGAATTTTATGGTTTAATTTTATCAAATTTAGTCTTTATAATATGTTCCCAAGTAATTTCGTGAGTACAGTAAATCTGTAAATTCTGAACAACCACTTTTTTCAATAGTTATGATCAAGAGGTTGGAATATAAATGTGACAAGAATAACGAGAAATACCTACAACTATGAACCCAGTCAACAATATAGAATTAATGTTTAGGGTTCAAATGATCATATAATATTGATGATGGTTCTTTAAATGATAAAATGTAACAAAATCATTTATTAAAAAAATTAAATTTTGCTCAATGTTTCAATAGACACTATTTGCAAGAAGAGACCAAGACTCAACCTCGACAACTACAGTGTGGGGATTATGTCAAAGTGGACAGATCTCTTGTGTACAGACATTTAGCCCTGCTCATTGAGTCACCCTAATTTACATCTTCCCAAATGATCCGTTATGCCGGCCCCAAAGCAACAAAAAAAAAAAAAAAAAAGGTTAATTCCATCAAAGGTTGTCTTTGGTGGCAATTCCAAATTTAATCCCAAGACTATCGTTTTTGTCATTTAACATCACAGACTATTATTTGTTGGACACTTTTAGTCCTCATGATTTTTTCTATTTTAGTAAAGGTATTTTTGTCTCTTCATATTTTTCATTTGTTATTTTTTTTAAATTTCAATTGGTTTAATATATAAGTTTAGAACTTCACTAAAAACTGGTTGAAAAATATGATTATTAAAAATTAGAGCTTACCTAAAGTTGTAAAACGATTAAGCCGGTTGAAACCTGAAAAATAACCCAAAAAAAAATATGAAAAGACAAAAATGCCTTATTAAAATAGAAAAAATCATGAGAATGACTAAATGTGTCCAAAAAAAATAATAGTCTGAGATGTTAAATGACAAAAACAATAGTCTGAGATTAAATTTGGAATTGTCACCAAAGACAAGGGACCACCGGTGGAATTAACTCAAAAAAAAAAAAAAAAAAAAAAAAAAAAATAAAAATAACTACTAAAATCCAAGAATAAACATGGCATTAACTCTTGTATGTACAGGTCTTGGGCACCGAGCAGAATGCAGTAGCTTCTCTACCATGGCATACGACGGCTTCTCCCTCCTCCGGTGAAAATGGAAGCAGGATTCAAGAATTGAATCAGAACGATGACAGCCCATCATCAGGACCAGAACCATCTTCATCATCCGCCATTGAAGCTCTGCCGAAGGTGAAGATCAGCCCAGAACACATGGCCATGGCCTGCAACTCAAACTGCCCAGTCTGCAAGGACGAGTTTGAGGTTGGGGTGGAAGTGAGGGAGCTTCCTTGCAGACATTTTTACCATTCAGACTGCATTCTTCCATGGCTGCAGACCAACAACACTTGCCCAGTTTGCAGATACGAGGTAGTTCAAGGTTGCTGTCCTATAAACCATGGCGTCCAGGAAGAGCATTACAGTATAAATGATTTTGGGTATACAGAAGAAGAAGAAGAAAGTATTAGGAGCCCTCTTGTGTGGGGATGGAATCAGGTTCTGTCATTGTGGCCTTTTACTATGCTGTCATATTGGATGTATGAATCCTTCAATCTTGTGGAAAGTATAACCTCGGCTTATTTTGAAGATTGAAGATCAATGGTGAGTACATCATTAAATTACGAAAATACCCCTGGCAAGTTTACCCATAGTACTATTTTATAGACGTGGACTCCCAAATCTTATTCCCTAAATTTTACTCCTGATATGGCGGACAATGGTAAGCTACCTTTTTCATGTGGGTCCCAATACAAGTGTCTACATCAAGATTTTGTGTGTAAAGTTAAAGTTGTGAATAAAAAATGGGAGTACATATATTATTTTCCTTTATAGACTATGTAGGGTTATCGATACAAACTTGGGCTGATAGGTTTTAGCAATTGCACTATTGGACCAATTGAGTTAGATCAGAACTCAATATTCCATCACTAATTAAATACTTTCAAAAACTCTGCGGAGTTGGCAATATGACATCATGTTAGGGTGTCAATACCTATGGATGGTAATTTCGAATTCAATATCCTATTCTCTCCATTGTTTATTTAGGGATTTAATTTGTAATTTGAGAGTGATTAAACATGATCACGGCAAGTTTAGTCAATCCGGGTACTTTTTTATAGACTGTGTAGGGTGATTAGTATATTGTAGCCAGTACAAACTTGGGCTACTAGGTTTGAACCACTGCCGTGGGTCAGATTTACCAGTATTATTAGATTGGACCAATTGAGTTAAGCCAGAACTCAATATTCCATCACTCACTAAATATTTTAGAAAACTCTATCAAATTAACAATATGACATAGTATTAACACCCGTCAATGGTAATTTCAAATTCAATATCTTATTCCTTCCATAGTAAGTGTATTTAGTTCTAGTTTATTTAGGTATATAATGACTAATTTGGGAGTGACTATTACTAACAAATGTTGGTTGTTTCTTCACTTTCTTGGACAGAGAGGCCATGGACCATGGTGGGGATCACTTGGCTCAATCCTTGACAATGGTGGCTGCAGATTATCTCTCCACCAATTCATAGGGTAACTCCATAATACAGAAGAAAGGTGTACAGCATGGAGGAGTTGAAGAAACCCCAAAAAGACCAAAAACAATGAACATTTTCATGGTCATCTCACATACCAAATCCTACAATGATATTTGAGGTTACAAATCAAGTTCCAGTACAATGTATTACACATGTTGTCACTGTTTACCCAAAACTCATTATCAGAACATTTTCTTAAGGCTGTTAACAATTTGACACATTTGGAATACAATTAACAGCCCAAACCGTAGGTTGTTAACAATTTGACACATTTGGAATATTTTGGTTGTGGAAAGCAATAAAAGCCCTATTTGGTAACATAATTAGCTTATCAACCAATTTTGACTTATTTGACCACTATTAGTTGTTTGACTTGGTAAAACAGCTAATATAATTATATAAGTTCTTGATTAATTAGTTTTTTGTAACAATTTATTGCTCTAAAACACTAAAACTCAAAGCAATTTTTTTGGGATCAATTTTTTTGAGAAAGTCATTTTTCATGGTAATCAACTATCAACTAACAGCTAATTTACCAAACATCTTTCTACAATCAGCTAATGCTATTAACTAGTCAACCGCACTAACCCAATCAGCTAACAACTATTTAGCAAACACCCCCGAAGACTAACCACATCTTCAACCATATTAATAATGTGTTAACAGATTGTTCAAACTGCACTATTGACAACCATAATTAAGTTACAGGACAATAAAAGTTCACTTTCTTCATACAGTCTATTGATCCAAGCATCTGAAGCTGAAAAAACGAGATGTAAGCAGGTATATTTTACTGGTGAATATAACTTTCCTTTGAGTAAACAGAGGTCCAATATTAGGCTCAAATAACTCAAAAAGCACTATGTTACCAGAATTATCAGTTTCCCACTCATTCTCAAAGTTCATCCTCCATTCTCAAGTACTCCCCGATATCAGTCTGGTGCAGCACCACAATCCCATTAGGGTCCAACTTCCGACAATCTTGTGTACTCTTTGCAGCAATGCCGAATCCCAGTGGCACATCAGACATGGAGAAAACCACCACCCCATCATGCTCACTTACATTCTCAGTAATCCTCCCAACCCCGCCTTTCAAAACATTGTTTCCATACAAAAAGCTCATTTCAGAAGTGGGTTTTAGCCAAACTTTGTGTCTAGCATGGGCGGCTAACAAACTCAATGACTGGATCGTAAGGTGAAACTTGCCACCTTTGGTGAATTTCCCAATTTGGGTCCCAAGAGAGATCAGGTTATCTCTCTTTATGTTTGTAGCTCTCTTGACAAGGGATTCTGAAACATAATAGACTCGGTTCGTTTGGAGCCGGAAGCAATACCGCCCTGGAGATGGGTCAGGGCCCTCATGTGAGGGGCTCTCCACTATGTTCTTCAGGTTGTTGCCCACAAATTTGTAAAGCTTTTCAAAGACTTGGGTGGTCTCATTCTCATCCAGTGGCCTCATTGACAGCTCCTTATATTTCCTCCTCTCTACCTAACAGAATTCAAACCTGACATGAAAATTTGACAACAATATTCTAACCAATACGCTATAGACGCAGCAAATAATGGGGGTGTTTGGTAAATAGTTGTTAGCTGATTGTGTTAGTGGATTTGACTAGTTGATACCATTAGCTTATTGTAGAAAGATATTTGATAAATTAGTTATTAGTTGTTAGATGATTCATGCAAAACGAATTTCTCAAAAAGCTGATCGAAAAAGCTATTTGAACAACTTTTTGAATTTTACCATTTTGGAGTAATAAGTTGTTACAAAATGCTAATTAATCAAACACGGATGAACAGCTAATAGTGGTTAAACAAGCAAAAATTAAGTATGTTATCAAAAAGGCCAATACATTTTCTATAGAGAAAACAGAGCAGTAATTTAAGCATGTCGAAGAACGAACAGTGTCAGCAAATTGGGCAAGAACAAGTTGCTATGTCAGCTATTTCCACAAAGAAACAAACCAATCTTAGCAGATTTAGGACAAAAATAGTCATGAAAAAAGGTTGATGCTAAAATCTCCCTTTTAAGTCCAGCATATTGAATGCGAAATAGCAGCTTAAAACGAGACAAGAATGGGGGAAATCGCTGCGCTTAGAAAGCGGAGTTGAAGTCTGATGAACAAGTAATAGTTCAGCAACAGAGATTGGCACATACCTGGAAGAGCAATAGAGAGAGATGGTTGGTGTTGAATTGGAGAGGGCGAGGAAGGTTCTGGAGTTAGGGTTTTTGATACTTCCGCACCTGTGGCTATAGGTTCAAAGAATTTGGGATTTTTTTTTAATAGTGTCTCATTTTGTTTGTTCTATTTACTATTTAGAGTCAAGTCAATTTTTTCTTTATTAATTTTTTTAAAATTATTTTTAATTATTTTAAAATTTATTTTTATGTGTATAATAATACTTTTAATATAATTTTTAAATATATAAATTTTATATACTAATATTGAACTTAATATTATAAAAATTGTAATTAAAATAATTTCAATTAAACCTCGTTAACCGGATCAGACAAAATGAAACGAAGAGAGTATATTGTAGCACAAGAAATTATGAAAGTGTCATTATCAGTTGTTTGGTTTGACGGAATTAGGATTCCATTCTTATTTAATTTTGAAGGGGAATAATATTTTTAGTTTGATCGGAAGGAATTATAAATCTTTATTTTCATGAAATTAGAATCACATATTTTCTCTAGTATTTTTAATTCCGTGGTTTTTTAGGAGAAAAAAAAAAGAAGATATTATTAAGATAAATTATCTTTATCTTTTATAATCTAAAATTGATGATTGATGTTAAAATAAGTATGTCATTTTAATGCCAATAATCTTGTGATCTAATGAAGTTGCTCTTCTTTATGGAAGGTTGTTGGATGATGAATGGTGTCTTATAACTTATAGTCTATAGGTATAAGAGCATTCTAATCTATGATGACTTATATAAAGAAGAGAAGATGACTTATATGAAGGAGAGAGAAGAGTTGAATTCTCACTGCACGTTTGGTTTTCTGTGAGGCCCGTCAGGAGAGAAAAAAATGAAACAAGAGGATGGGATGGCGTGCGTGGCATGCACGGACCGCGCTGCATACGCATCCACTTTTTTTTTTTCACATCAGACATGCTTTTTATTTATTTATTTTTTTCTCCTTTTCCTTCTTCTCTTTCCCTCTTCCCCTCCTAATTGGGACCTCAAAAACCAAAAATAAAAAAATAAAAAATTGCTATCGGAGATCCCCTAAACTCCAAACTTAAGAGCACCAGCCCCACAATGTGTGGGTGCGGGTGCTACACTTTCCCCAGTGTGGGGTCTGAATTAGCATCAGCACAGGGCTAATTGAATAAACTATGAATTCGTATATAATGCCACAAATATGGCTTACTGTTACTCCTTTCAGCAAAATAAACTATGAATTCGTATATAATGCCACAAATATGGCTTACTGTTACTCCTTTCAGCAAAATATACACAAATGTTCAGAATCTGGTTAGCATATGTGCATCATTGACATATATTGGCATTTGCTCACATTGCAGATGGTCAAATAGAACTATCTCAGTTTTACTTACCTTGATGAAAATCTGCTTTGGGCAAATTACATTTTTGAGTGTCATGGAGTGAAACAGAGGCCAGTCACCTTTGGCATCGGCCGGCAACTTCTTCATATATGCATGCTTTTATACACTTACGATATGCATTTAATGTTCCTGTCCCAGTCACTATCGTCCTACTTGAGCCAAATCGCGATGTTATGAGGCCACACGTGTCACCATATCCAACAAAGAAGGATCGTCAAGAATCCATTTAAGTAGAGGGCGTGCATCTCATTGTAGAAAACACGAGCTGCAAAATCAAACCCCATCTTAGGTTGACAAACATAGGCGATTTAAGAAGGACAAAGAACAAGAGACATAAACTAATGTGTTTCAAATAGGATATCCTATTTCCTTCTAGGTCATTTTTAAAAAATGTACCATACATCATGTATAAAGTTGAACCGTTACACTCTCTCAACACGCACACACATATATACTGAGATGAAACAAATTAGGGTGCGGTGTCACCACTCACTATTATCCAATCTCACATCATCTACCATCAGAGATCCTAAGTAAATGAAATCAGCAGATAAAGAGAGTGGGTTAGGGGTGATAATCAACTCATCTCCTGTTAACAAGCCAGCAAGGTCCACAGTTAAATATCAGTTATTTGGTGGGCCCCAAGTCCAAACAAATGATCATTGTGATAGCCTGATAGGTAAGGTGTCTGCTTGGAAACACAGATTAAAAAGAAGAAAGCGGCAAGGATATTAACTTACATGATGGAGACAAAGAGAATCCTGAAGAGACTTGTGATGCCAACACAAAACCTTTTTCAATCAATTCTTCACGGTCCTCACTGGGGTAATATGATACAGCAGCCAGCGGAGAAAGACCAGGAGACACCGTTGGCATGGCATGAGAAGCCGGTGATGGGCTCGGACCACATGGTGGACTTCCCAATCTATGAGGGGAAGCAGGCGCCTGTGAAGGCACTGGTGAAGCAGTGACGTGGGATGGAGGGTGCCCCCGTTCTTCACCGGGAGTTGGGGCATATGTGTGGCTAGTATAAGATGGTGCTGAAGATGGTTCAGGATCATATTGTACTGGAGATGGAGATGGAGCTGAAGCTGGGGCAGCAGTTGGTGGCACAGCCTGAATTGAATGACTTAGAAAGGAAGACAAACTTATTTGCTTAACTTTACCAAAAACAGAGTTATCAAGGCCAAGATTTGCAGAGGGAGGGGAATCAGTGATTATTCGAGCCAATTGTTTCAATCTTTCTGGTGGTAGAACATCAACATCAGTAACAGCAGAAACTTCAATTGTAACAGGGGGATCTCTTGTAGAACCAATATTGTTTTTGACCATTACAAAAATGTCCTAGGATAGAAAAATAAAAGCATGATTAAAAGCCAAATTAAACGCCATATCAAATAAATCTGAGCATAAACAAAAACAAGTCAACCATCCAATCCTACATTAAAGTTCATGTCATAAAGAGTTACAAACAGAGATTTGAAACAGTTTCCATTTCTTTCCATCACTGTTGAGACAAAAAATTTGATGAAATTAAGAAGAATGGTGAAGTCCATTTTAGAAACATTCTTTTTTTGAAGAAACAAGAGTTCTTGCAACTATTAATGTAATTACATATGTATAAATTACACACGAAATAACAACAATAACAAAACAGTAGGATACAAGATAAAGAATGGAAGGAGTATTCCATTTTACACCCAAATTTAGAATCTGATAGCACACAGAATTAGAATATTTCCCAACAAAAATATCCCTCTCCTTTCTCTTTAAGGGCAAAAAGTTAGAAATTTCCCAGATCTTAGCCTACCATACTCACAGGAATTACTAAATTGTGAAAGCATAAATCAAGATGTACCTCATATGGCCTGAGATGTAAACCAGACTTCAGCTGCTCCTTTAACACCGCAAAATTCGACTTTATTTGTTCTATGGAATTATATAGTGTAAAGTTGAAGAGGTTCTGGGGCATGTCCCAGAATGTAGATCGGGGCTCAGGTATTATAGTGATTCCATCAGGAAATTTCAAAATCTCAAAAGAAAATGGTTGTCCGAAGATTGAGGTAGTCAGTGTCAAATTGGCTTGTTGAAGAAAGATATCTATAAAAGACATTTTCAGCAAATCTAAGGACAGCTGATTTATAGATGAATCAACTGGATCAGAAAGGACGCCGAATATAACATCACTCTGGTTAGATAAATCCGCCTGATGGATGGATAAAATTGCAACCTGTGGCCAATCAGCTTATTAGTTTGACTAACCTAGAATGCAAGGCAGCAAATACACAACAGAGCTTTTAACGGTTAACAAATAATACAAACCTTTGTGGAAGGAACTCCTATCTCCCCATAAATATCATATTCTAGTCTAGCAATGTTAGGAACAAGATCTGAAACTGGTTTCTCCAGCATGAAGTATGCTTGAACAGTAGCTAAACAGAAACAACAGTTATCAGAAGATACCGAGCAAGATAAAGCCAGTAATATCCATATTAACAAATAACAATGATATTCACCATTTGAGAATTGACTTATATATTATACAGAAGTTTAGTATTTCAATTCATCTTAGAATTATGACCATCGACCACTTTTCTCAAATTCAACCTCTTAGAGAAGAAGACTCTCCGTTGACTCATACCTCCACATAGGAAAATATCATTCTGGAGTAAGTCTTGTGTGAGACCGACTGACCGAGACTTGAGACAGTCGAATACTTTTTAACTAAAATGTAATACTTTTCTATGCACTCATAAAACATACTCCGTATTACATTTTAACTATAAAATATTACACATTTCACGGTGAGACGGTCTCACACAAAACTTACTCATCACTTTATTATATCTGTGACCCCAAATAATGACCCCGCTGGACAAAGAAACACTAGGCATAATGAAGGACCTTAAAGATTCAATATTTCTACTCCAATATTGGCTACAGGTATAACCTTAGGCAAGTTAAAGCCTAGGGCATCAGCTTGTAAAGATTAATACATCCCATCAGCTAATTCATTTGTACTTCACAAGCAATTTTAGCAGCCCAAGGCTGAAACCACTCCATCATCAAGACATCAATTATACTAAACTACCACCAAATTTGCTATGCATTCATCAACTACCACACAAACTTAAAACAATTTCAACATTTACAAGAGACAGAAATTGGTTTAATCGCCCAAACACAAAACCAAAAACCTTGAAATGAAAAGTGAAACCCCTTCCACTACCGTGATCAATTATACTAAACCCTACCACCACAATTGCTATGTATTCATCAGCTATCACAACAAACTCAACACAATTTTGACATTTACAGAGGCAGAAATGGCTTAAATCACCGAAAAACAAAAACCTTGAAATGAAAAGTGAAAGCCCTTTCACTTCTGTGATCAATTATACTAAACCCTACCACCACAATTACTATGTATTCATCAGCTATCACAACAAACTCAACACAATTTTGACATTTATAGAGGCAGAAATGGCTTAAATCACCGAAAAACAAAAACCTTGAAATGAAAAGTGAAAGTCCTTTCACTTCCGTGATCAATCATACTAAACCCTACCACCACAATTGTTATGTATTCATCAGCTATCACAACAAACTCAACACAATTTTGACATTTACAGATGCAGAAATGGCTTGAATCACAGAAAAACAGAAACAAAACCAAAAACCTTGAAATGAAAAGTGAAAGTCCTTTCACTTCCGTGATCAATTATACTAAACCCTACCACCACAATTGCTATGTATTCATCAGTTATCACAACAAACTCAACACAATTTTGACATTTACAGAGGCAGAAATGGCTTGAATCACCGAAAAACAAAACCAAAAACCTTGAAATGAAAAGTGAAAGTCCTTTCACTTCCGTGATCAATTATACTAAACCCTACCACCACAATTGCTATGTAATCATCAGCTATCACAACAAACTCAACACAATTTTGACATTTACAGAGGCAGAGAAGGCTTGAATCACGGAAAAACAAAACGAAAAGTGAACCAAAAATTACGAAAGCATAAAAAATTAAAAGACTCACAACTGAGCTTGATTGCCTCTTTTGCATCAAACCCGGACTGGTTAGAGCGGCGTGGGAAGACCCAAAACACGGCGGACAGTAAAACGGCGACAGTCAGCAGCAAGACAAACACGCACTTGAAATTAAACCCGCGGAAGATTCTAGAAACACCCACCGGACATCCCTCGCAACAGCAGCAGCAGCAGAAGATTCTGGAAACGCCGCCCTCGCCGGACCCATTCCGGCCCCCCTGCTGTTGCTGATGCAGTGGCAGTTGCCGCTCATCAGATTTCCCCATTCTATGAGCATCTGGAACAGTGGAACACTGCACTTCCTCTCTCTCTCTCTCTCTCTCTCTCTCTCTCTCTAGCTTTTACTGCAGAGTTTCAATATGGTTTCGGTGCTTTTCTTTCTCGCTCTAAAAGATGGAGAGACAAGTGGGCGTTCGTGGTGAACTGATGCACCCTCACGCAAACGCATACGCTTTGCGGTGCTTTTCACGATTTTGGTACTAATCCACTCACTGCACCACTTACATACACTCGTACCATCCTCCAATTTCTTTTTTTGGTTTTTACTTTTTGAATTAATATCGTCTAAAGTCCTCCGAGTATAATGATCTTGTCACGTTTAATTCTAAACTTTTAAATTGATTATATGTAGTCTTTTGACTTTCAAATTTAACCATTCATAGTCAAACTAACTACCCATGGTCCTTCAACTATTAAATTTTAACCAACCATGGTCATTTCAAGAGGACCACGGCTGGTTAAATTTCGAAAGTTGAAGGACCATGGGTGATTAACTCGGACCACGAATGGCTAAATTTGAAAGTCAAATTACCACAGATGGTCAATTTAAAAATTTAGGACTAAACATGGCAAAACCACTATATTTGGAGGACTTCATGTGACATTAACTCTTACTTTTTAGTATGACTTTGTACACAATAATATTTTTTTTTAATAACTCTGTATTATTTTGGTATGAATATTATTTTGGGGTGTAATTAACTAATTACTAACCAAAAAGTTTGTAATATCACAATCTTGGATTTGATTTTTCTTTAAAAAGAAAAATATTATTTTCCTCCTGCGAATTTAAAAAGAAATACAAAAATTTGTATGAGATCGTCTCATGATAATCGTTATACCTTGCATCACAACGCACATAGCAATGTGCGCCCATCCTCTCAAAACAATATCGTATTGTTAAGTTGTGTGGAAAATTGACGCGCCGCAGTGTATGTGATTCTGTTATACAATTATGTACATTATATTATATAATTATGTACATTCTATTATACAATTATGTATATTCAAAACAGTGAATTTTTTTTAAGAGTTAAGAGTTTATGTGTATTATGTTAAGGGTTTATGTGTATTATGTTAAGAGTTTATGTGTATTATGTTAATAATGTATGTGTGTTATGTATTATGTTAGATTATGTGTATTATCCTTTCAAAAAAGTGTATGTGTATTCTGTTATATAATTATGTACATTCTATTATACAATTATGTACATTCGAAACATGGAATTTTTTTAACAAGTTAACATCAGACACGGGAAAAGTGTATGTGTATTCTGTTATATAACTATGTACATTATGTTATACAATTATGTACATTCGAAACATGGGAATTTTTTTTTAAGAAGTTAACATCAGACACGAGAAATGGAATTTAAAAAAATATATATATACAAAACGACGTTGTTTTGGGCCAGAGCGCACAATGCACGATATAATTTGCCGTCTCATGGATCTCAGTATGTAAGACGCATCGGATCTTTGATTAATGAGGTTAAAGATCTAATCCATTAATAAATAAATAAATAAATAAATAATTGACCCATTAATCAAATATCTGGCCCGTCTCACATATTGAGAACCGTGAGACGGTTTCACACAAGTGTTACCAAAAAAAAAATTTATCTACATGACAAACTTCCATTTCCATCCACGACTATTATTTTAGTGACAGAATTCATCACACATATCACACCTTCGTTTAAGACATGTCGAAATATGAAATTATTAAGGATATTTTCACTCTTTTCAAATTAAGGTATTAATTTGAACATGAATAAAGGGATTTAAGCCCTAAGATCTATCTCAATTCGCAGTTCTCTTCCTCAAATTAAGGTAGGATGAAAAGGAGAACTGCTCATTAGGATCGATCTTAGGGCTTAAATCCATTTATTCATGCTCAAATTGAAATCTTAAGTTCAAAATTACAAAAATACCTTTAAATTTTTTAGATTTTGGCATGTCTTAAATAGAGGGGTGGCTGACGTGATGAATTTTGGTACTAAAATAATAGTCATGGATAAAAATTAGTACTAAAACAATAGTTGTTGAGAAATGCAGGGCAGGCTCGAAACCTTTTTGTATTCAATGCAAGCCTTAAGGGAAACTACAATAGTGATTTTTGAGAATATTTTTAAGGTCGTAATGCTTATGTGGAGAAGAGAAGGATATGATAGAAAACGAAATGAGTCCTTGTGCAATAACCTGATTTTGTCTCTAAAGTAGGACCCACACCAAAAAAAAAAAAAAAAAACGCAAATTATGCCATGGAATCGTGTTCACCGAGAATGGTGAACACAAGGCAAAACGACGTCGTTTTTAGGCATAAAAAAAAAATCGCGGATGTGGAGTTAACGGCGCGCGTTTGATCAAATTATGAATTTTATGAAAATTCATAATCGCATAACAGTAAATTCATAATCGCATAACAGAAAATTCATAATCTCACAACTGAAAATTCATAATCTCATAACAGAAAATTCATAATCCTATAACAGAAATTTATAATCTCATGGTTCCAAAGTGAATGTGTAGGCATGGTTTCAAAGTGAATGTGCAGGCATGGATTAATAATTTATGAATGCCCGTGATTTCGGACGGGAATATGTAGGCATGGTTCCAAAGTGAATGTGCAGGCATGAATTCATAATTTATGAATGTCCAAAATTATGAATGTAATGAAAATTCATAATCTCATAACAGAAAATTCATAATCGCATAACAGAAAATTCATAATCTCATAACTGAAAATTCATAATCTCATAACAGAAAATTCATAATCTTATAACAGAAAATTCATAATCTCATGGTTCCAAAGTGAATGTGTAGGCATGGTTCCAAAGCGAATGTGCAGGCATGGATTCATAATTTATGAATGTCCGTGATTTCGGACGGGAATGTGTAGGCATGGTTCCAAAGTGAATGTGCAGGCATGAATTCATAATTTATGAATGTCTGAAATCTTTGTTCACCTCAAATTAAAGTGAAACCGCAAAATGTGAAAATAAAGAAGAAAAGTCACGCAATTAAAAAAAAAAAAAAAAAAAAAAAAAAAAAAAAAAAAAAAAGATAACGGTGTACTAACACCGTTGGAACCGTGTTCACCGTGAATGGTGAACACGGTTCCATGGCATAACGTCCCAAAAAAAAATAAAAAAAATTTGCCCATTGCCACATGAAAAGCACCAGAATGCGCCCAACGAGACGCATGCACTCCACACACGTTAATCTGCAACTATTCATTTCTTTTTTGTTGTTCATTTTTTTTCCTTTTTACCCTTCCCTCACATCTTATATTTCATAGTCACACTTGCAAAAACTCATCAAAATTTATGTCAATTGAAGATGCTCAAGCTTTGTATTTGTATCGGGTTGTACTCAATACAAAGAGTTACCATACTAATCAATATGGTACGGAGTAACAGTTTAGCTGTGACAATGTTATAACACTCAACCGTTGAGTGTTATTGAATGAAAAAATAGGTGTGGTAAACTTTATAAATATTGTAAATTAAAAGTTTGCAATATTTATAAAATGGACATATTTTTTTTTTTATATTAAAACTCTCAACTATTAATGGACTCATATAGGTGACTGAGATCAATTCTCGCTTTTTACATCGGTAGTTGTTCTCATTTAAAGGTTTTAGTACAAAAAACACGAAGTTAATATTATTATTATTACAAATTTTTAAGTTTACAATATTTATAAAACTGACATTGTTTACTTTCTATAAATATTTGATAACCCTTAATCATTGATCTAACCTAAATTGGTGGATCATATTAGTCTACAAATAAACTCTCCAACACAAACATGCACACACACATGTATACGTACACGTACACTATATCCTACAGGTCTCCAAATACTTATATATTACTATCCACAACCAAATTATATACATTCATTAATAATAGATAGCTAACCATGTCCAAATATGATATAATTTAAGATTCATTCATGCTAATTTATTTTAACCTTAAAGTACCTTTGATGCCTAACCCAAAGTTCCTAATCCCTAGTAGAATAATGTCCCACGACCCCATTTGGTACGTAAACAATTAAATAGATTTGATAACGATTCTGCCACCCAACGTTGATGATAAGCAATGTTAGATGGTGAAGTGTGAAAGAGGGAGGAAGCAGTTGGTAATAAACAATACATGATAAAGCCCTAATTTTTGTCTTTATAGTATAAAAGTGATAAAAGTGACTAGAAAATGCTATTATTATTCACATTTTTAAGTCAGATTTTGTATATATAATGTAAATATAATGTGTTATTATCTTTTATATAAAATTATATAGTGTTTTTTTTTTCGCATTCAAAACAAGTATGGTGTTGATCGACACCAACATTGGTATGTATTTCTAACGCGGATTGCAATTTAATAGTGAATACGAAAGTCTTTGAGTTTGTAGGGGTACGTTAGTGTCGGACATTGTAGACTTTCATGCTTTTTTTTTTTTACTTAAGTGATCTCAACGCCCTAGACTAATCATAATTCATAAGCCCACAGGATCCTGTCCCTAGAGCCATTACAGAGGTAAATCACGAGTTGTTCAATTATATTACTTGTCAGATCCTAGTATTTATGCGCGCCCAAGGGATCCAATTCGATCACACCTCTCATCATCATGGGCCGTTTTCCCATTTAGGTTTCTCGTGGGATCCAAGCCTCTACACAGCCGCATTCAGTTGTGATATCAAGTTAGGCGACGAACCACTACGCTAATCAATGTTTTTTTAATGAAAATATGAAGAGCGACCCGACGAAAAAATTATAGGATTATAAGCTGGAACACACATAGAATCCAATAATAGTACATAGTGGGCTCTTAACAAGGCTATTACTATGTTCTTAAAGCATCATTGGTTGAAGGAACTAGAAAGGTCAATAAGAAGTGCATTAGGTAGATTAAAGAATTATAGTGGCCCAATCACAAGGTCCAGATTGTCAATACAATTAAGACAACCCTTCATTGGTTATGTTCAATTCAAGTCAAGCCCATTTGCAAAATATGAAGAATAATTCAAGGCTTTTCATTCAATAAAACTCTTATGACTTTCTTCGGCTCCTCCAGCGCTCTGTACTTCTGCCCATCCAATTTCCGGATGGGCAAAACTTCCTCTTAGGACTTTCTTTACACACCTTTAAAAGGAAAACAAAGCACATTAAAAAGGAAAACAACACACCTTTAAAAGAAAAGCCACGCACCTAAAGCTTTAGACCGATACACCTTAAGAAGGAAAACCACGCACCTTAAGTTTCAACAACTTACACACCTTAAGCACACAAATCATGCACATTAATAAGGAAAACAACGCACCTAAAGCTTTTAGAGTGACGCACTTAAGTTTCAACAACTAAACACATTAAGCACACAACACAAAAATCACGCACTTTAAATTTGATTTAGATGCAAAAAGACAAAAATTGTCATTGCATTTTTTTTTTTATTTTTAATTTTTGTTAATCCTTGACGTTGTTTTTGACAAGATCAATGACTCTCATCTCATCCCACAATCGCACCTGGCACACCCAACTGTACGGGAACCATATATATATATATATATATATATATATATATTATGGTTCAATCATTCTTGATTGATGAATGATTACTGAACCATTTGACATGAATTGAAGATGACATGAGGCATGCACGGAAAAAAAGCTATAAAATGATGAGATAAAATTAGGAGTGCTATGATTGTTCAAATAGACAAGTAATCAAATTATAGAATTGACAAGTTAATAGTTTTGATGTAAAATAGGTACGTAATTGATAAAATCACATCGTCTTTTTTTTTTTTCATGTTTTTTTTTTTTTTTTTTTTTAATATATAACATAGGTTTCCTGACTTTAATTTGTCAAACTATATCATGAAATCATTCATAGACCCACCATCATGCCAATGAAAAGGTAAATCAATAATATATCTTTGAGATTCAACACCAAATTATATATCTTTGCACACAAGAAGTCAAACTCAAACCTCTAATATTTGTTAGTTGTTGTAATCAAACATTCACATTATATTGTCGATGTAAGCAAATCTTAAGTGAGGTTTATCATCCAATATACCAACGCCCTGAGTGCCGAGGGGAACCACAAAGTTTCACATCATCCTTGTTGTTTGGATGACAATGGATACTTGCAACCAATACTTGAGAGTGTGCACCAGATAAACTCATACTTATGCAATGGTCCACAAACCACACATGAGAAGTAAAACGCCCGCGCTAGTTAAAAAGATCCCATGCGACAAATTCGATCAATATAGGGTGTTATTAAAAACGAACCCCTGAGGACATTAATATACAATAATAATCATGTTTCACTTAATTAGTTGACTGGCCTTTCGGAGCTACAAACGACATCTTCCTTATCTTGTTGGGTGGTTGTGATAATCATCCTCAAAACCCTAGCTAATTTCTTTGTTAGTTTAGGCATAACTTTCTTGATTTTCTATATGGTTAAATGATCACATCCTAGCTCACCCATTTTTCACTTCATTTGATCTCATCTCCCATCTCTCCAACTTGAAATAGAAAATTAGTTCATATTTCAATTCTCACAATCTCGTGTACTATACTATATAATAAAGTAATAAACATTTGCCGTATTCGGCAAGAATGACTACATAAATTTGTATAAAGGCCTTACTATCTGTAAATTGTAATTATACATTATATTTTGGGTTACAAGGAAAATTCATAATAACTATTTAAAAATGTATATTATGTAAATTTTATTTTTGTATGTATAAAAACTCATAAATTATTATACACATAAGAGATAAATCGTGTTAAAAATAACATTTGGAAGCAAAAATCAAAATCGTGATATTTTGTATAGGAATCATGCTCCACCTATATTTGGACGCTCCCTTTTGACAATACAAAACTAATAAGAGGCATGACTCTTTCTTAGATATATAAGAAGAGTCTTCCCTATAATACAATTTTCGTGTGTCGAGGATATGAGGGAGCAATAATCATTATTTTTTGAATCATGGTTTACACAGTTGTGTTGACTACGAATAAAAAGTACTCTATATATTACTTGTGTTTTGTACACAAAGTACATTATTTGAATACTGAAAGTACATTATTTTGTATATTATCAAATAATGTACATTTAACACACAAATAATATACTTTTTGTATATTAAAAATGTACTTTATATTTATAGAAAATACACTATTTGAGTACTCAAAGTTCATTATATTTTATATAATGTACATTTAATATACAAATAATGTAATTTTTGGTATATTAAAATGTATTTTTTTAATGATTCATACAGTGCTATGTGGACCGTGGTCCATATAAAAATTTGCCCATGGGAGGGGGACAAAGAAGCCAAAAGTGATAAGGAAAAAAAAAAACAAATTGAACGTTGAAGAACTATACATGTCTTAAAAACAAGCATATTTTGTTACAATTTTTTTTAGGTATGTATAAATATATAGAATTCGTTATTGGAAATAAGTAGAATAACAATATTAATTCTCCCTCATAATAATTTAACATTTTAATTTAGATAAAATACATATTTAAAATTTTGTTTCTATTGGGGAATTAAAATTTTCATATTTATATTTCTCTTATGAATTAAAATACTAACAAGTTGTTAAGAATCATGTCCTACCACTCTTGTTAGATGGTTTGCAAATTGTTCTGTCCATATTTTTTTTTTTGTGTGTGAAAAACCGCTTTTAAATCAAGTTCGAGTGAGTGGTATGCCATTCCACCTTCATATATTACTAACATCTTGTCTTCTAACATAACTTATTGATGATTTTTTTTTTTTTTTTTTTTTTTTTTTTTTTTTTTTTGTAATAAGAGATCATTCACAATTATTATTTGAGAGTAAGCATAAAATTAGATAAATCACATTCTTATGTAATAGTCACTAAACTATACTAGGTAAATTACAAATGGTTCAGTAAATAGTAATTGGGTACTTGGGGGAAGAGACCAGTGTTCGAATCTTAACGGGTGTTAATGTGAGAATTATGCCTAAAGTGAAATCTCTCTTGTATGCATTGACATTTGGTCATGTATATTAAACCCATTAAATCATCGTGTCTTATAAGGGTCAAATAGGCCATCGAACTGCACACGATAATGCAATTAGGCCACTGAACCTAAAAAGCCAACAATTAGGTCCCTAAACTAACCAATTTCAAACAATTCTTCCAATTTATAGGTTTCCAACAAGTTAACAGGTCATCCTCCCAAATTAATTATTTTTTAAAAAAATAAAATTTAAAAATTAATTATTTAAATAATTTTAAAAAAACAGAATTCAGCCGATCTGTTTTTTTTTTTTTAATTTTAATAATTAATTTGGAGGATGACCTGTTGACTTGTTGGAAACTTTCAAATTGGAAGAATTGTTAGGAATTGATAAGTTTAGGGACTCAATTGTTGGTTTTTTGAGTTCAGTGGCCTAATTGTATTATCATGTGCAGTTCGATGGCCTATTTGACCCTTATTCCTAATATTTTTAAATGCTTCGTCAAGTCAAGATGTGGGGACGCTTGGGTAGGGATTCACCCAGGAAATTAGTCAAATTACAAATGAATTGACATTTGGGTTTCAATTTCATATTTTCATGTATTGGCACTTTGGCAGGCAAAACGGTCGAAAATTTTCAAAAATCAAAATAGTTCAAAAACCAGAGCGGGCTTGGGGGGTCTTCACCTTTCGCGTGCAGACAGGGAAGCAGACTTTCAGTAAAAAAATTAGAAAAAAAAAAAAAACAAAACAAAACAAAAACCCAAAGCTCCGCCCTCGCACTTTTTGAAATTTGAAAATGGCCCTTATAAACCCCGCCTCTCTCTCCTTCTTCCCCTTTCTTTATCAAATCGGGTTTCCAAGTCAAAAAGGAGCCAAAGCTCGGACCCGGCAGCTCAAATCTCTGCATCTTCTTCGCTGTAAGCTCAATTCCCTTTCTTTTCCGTCTCTCACTTGTGCATATATATGAATGAATGGATGAATGATTGAAGAATTGCACGTAAATCTAGCAGTTTACAGTTAATTTTATCTTGGATTTAAAGATTTGGACCTCCGCGCAAACTTTATTCAGCTCCGTGCGTTTGAATTTTCGGAAACATTGCGTTTTGTTTATTTCTTGATTAAAAGTTTCCGTATGTCTTAATTTTCTTACCTAGTGTTCTGCTGAAATTTTGTTGTTTATTATCATTTTGTTTCATCTTTATATCCGAATCTGTTTAGAATTGGTTTAGTGTGATAGGATAGTAAACTTGATTTGTAGTCATTTTTATTTTCTGCTGATTTTGGGTGGAGTTTTTAATTGACTATAACCTGTTTGATTTATGTTCCCACAGAAATGGATTCTCTACCCGATGCCATTGTGTACTATATTTTGTCCCACATAAGCAATGCCAAAGATGTGGCCTATTGTTCTTGTGTTTCCAAGCGGTGGAAGGAGACAATGCCAGCAGTTAGGAGCCTCTTCTTCCCTCGAAACCTTTTTGACAACTTTAAGGATGGAAACCCTGATGCTGTAATTGGACGGATGATTTCGTCGGTTGAGAGATTAGAAGCGCTTTGTATCTACTGCTCGTTCTCTGGGGTTAGTCTTGCTTCATGGCTTTCCCTTGTTGGACCATCACTAAAGAGTCTCGAGTTGCGTATGGACAACTTGAGTGAACTCCAATCCGACATGGGAAGTCCCTCCAAGTTGGATTCTATAAGAGCTGCGTGTAATTTGGAGTCTCTGAAGCTCTGGGGTGTGCTCATGAAACATTCCCCGAAATGGGACACTTTCCACAGGCTTAAGAATCTTGAAATTATTGGTGCGAGGGTTGATGATATGGCACTTTCTGACACATTGAAGCACTGTCCTAATATAAGGCAGCTGCTGCTGCTTGGCTGCGAGGGCCTTCGGTCTGTCATAATTGAGCTTCCACAGCTAGCGCTTTGTAAGCTTGATTTCTATGGCGCTGGTAATTGCTCTCTGTCTGTCAATTGCCCAAAGCTTGAAAACCTCGAAATACAAGGCTGTAGTTGGATTAAAGTTCCCGAGACCCAGTTCTTGAAGAACCTTTCTATTTCCAACAGTTCAGGTACAGGTACTAATCTTAATGCAATCTCAATCAAGTTTTATAGTTGTGTAATATCAGTTTTTTTTAATGTTCGAATGTTATTTTCATGTGCAGGGCGAGTTTATATGCTAGATTTTGGGAAGCTTGTAGCTCTGGAGACCTTAGCCATGAGGGGAATCCAGTGGAGCTGGGATGCTATAAGCAAACTGCTTCAAATGGCGAGCGAAGTGAAACAACTCTTCATGAAGGTGGAATTCACAGGGGATTTCGAAGCACTTCTGCCTTTCCCCGAGGTTGATTTTGCAGACTTCTTCAATAGCCACCCCAAGCTTCAAACATTCGACATCCATGGCGCTATGTTTGCAGCACTTTGCCAGAAAAACAGCTTGAAAAACGTAAGCTCTCTTGTATATTCTGAAGCAAAGTTAGTCTATTACTCTATTTAGCTGCAAGCCCGCAACAAGCAATGACATTACCCATATTTATGTGTTTGCAGCTAGACTCAAGCTTCGGGATTCCTTGCCTTGAAAAGGTGGTTGTTACAGTGAGATCACCGCTGAATGCTGAACAGAAAATGAGTACTCTCGAGTCGTTGCTAAGGTACGCCAAGAATTTGAGAAACATGAAAATTAAGATTCTTCAGATGAAGAGCTGCCACACCAGCTCAGATGAATTTTTTGAGGATATCTGCAGATTCAGTCGCATGAACCGCAAGATTGTTTCCATTGAATAGTGACTACTGAGATTTCACCATTTTTTTTTTGTCCATTGGTAACCATTCTTGTTGTCCTATAATAAAGATGCTTGAACTTTCAGGCTTATACTCTGATGATGATTGATTCACAATTGACTGTTTTTATTTATTTTTACATTATTCGTGCATGAATTTTCAAAATGTATGGTAGGCAGATAATTGGATTATATACAACAAAAATGAAGAAGAAAATAAGAAGAAATAGTTGGTTTAATTAATGAATAGTAAATATTATAAGTAAAATGAGATATATGGAGTATCAATTTAAACAAAATAGTTCAATTATACAAAATTTACTCAATTAGTTGAGGGATCATTTTAGATGAATTTGATAGTCGATGATCAAATTAAAAGTTATAGTATAGATGAATGACTATTTTAAGTTTTAATGCTTTTAATAAAATTATAAAGTTGACTTGCAAGTCTTTATACCATATGTAAATGTTATCATTTATATATCTTGATTCATTATATTGCGTATCATTATTTACCTGAACCACTAATATATAAATTTATTTTTAATATATTAGCTAAAAATGAATATTTATCAATGATTTATCATAGTTCAAAACATAATTTGCTGGTATAATTTGGATATTAATAAGATAGAAAATTTACTTTGTATTTCCTATTTTTGGAGGAAAAAAGAACATGCAAATGTCCATGCTCTTCAACTATTATCTCTGATTTTTTTTATTTTATTTTTATTTTTTTAAAAATAACCGTACTGTAGTCATACTCAAATGATAAAAAGAACCCATTAATACACAATTGATATCATTATATGTATAATAATAATTTTTTTTTTAAAAAAAAAATACAATATGTATGTATTTGAATTAAAGGTTAGAGGATATTGTTATATTAGGACATCTTTAATCTTTAATAGTGGAGATTAAAAGGGAGAAAAGGAAGAGAAAAAAAAAGAACATGGTTGAAAGGGAGAGAAGATTATCTTCATGAGAGAAAGTTCTCTTCGAAAGGAAAAGGGGAGAAAGCCGCAAGCTTGCATAGTGTGGCGTGCAATCGCCACACAAGTATGCAACTTGATTTTTTTTTCCCTTTTCTCTTCTAATTTGTTTTTTTTTTTTTTTTTGAAATGAATGTTATTTTATTTTTTAAATTACTATATTAAAATTTAGAGTTAATTTCAGCAATGGTCCTCCGACTATATTGATTTTCCAAAATTAATCCTTGACTTTTAATTTGAACACTTTAGGTCCCTTGACTTTCAATTTCTTTCCAATTAAGGTCTTTTCGTCAGAATACGGTTAATTGAATTTTAAATGAAGGGGTAAACTCATCATTTCACCTGCCTATGTATTATTCTTAGTATTTCTCCATTGTATACGCGATATATATGAAGATAATCTTAGTCGAAACCCTAAAATGTTCCTCGTCGTTCCCCATTTGCTGACTACTCGTGTGTGCGTTCCTCTATTATTGAGATGTTTACAAGGTATAACAACGAAATACGAAGGGAGAAATACGAAGAATAATACATAGGCATGTGAAAGGACGAGTTTACCCCTTCATTTAAAGTCTAATGAACCGTATTCTAACGAAAGGACCTTAATTGGAAATAAATTGAAAGTCAAGGGACCTAAAGTGTCCAAATTAAAAGTCTGAGATTAATTTTGGAAAATCACTATAGTCGGAGGATTATTGTTGGAATTAACTCTTAAAATTTATTTTAAAATTTTATTAGTTTTTGGTATATATATTATTTAAAAATTGTTTTTGATTTATTTTATTTCGCTATTTTAATTTAAAATCAAAATTATATTTCGTAGTTATAAAGTTAAAATTATTTAATTATAGATAAGTGAATAAAATAATAAATGATATGTATGGGTTTGAATGAGTAGTGCTCACAAAAAAGGAGAAAAAAAGGGAGAAGGATTAGAGAGAAAATAAGAAATGAGGTTATAAGGTGATGTGGAGGAGTTGAGCTTATAATTTGAGAAGAAAAGAGGAGAACTATTATGGATGCCCTAATTGAAAGTCAGAAATCTATTTGAAACATGTATTTAGGGAACATGTTACATGTGTATACTTTCCACACCAAAGACAAATTTTGAGTTTTGACAAAGAAAAGCTAAACAAGTTTCTTCTTTAGAAAAAACCGTTTCAACTGCCATACTTGCAGAGCTGAAACCAAGATGCAAACTCCCATAGACATCAGGCTGAACCTTGCCACCCTAGCATTTGTTTTTGTGCTCACTTTCTGCATCTTAAATTCTCTGGAATTGCATAAGAATAATTAGGATAAGAATAATCAACAACATTAATAATGTCATTTTTTTTTTCGTGTGTGGATAAAAGTGGAGCGAGAAAGCCGAAAAAAATACCTCGTTATAATTAATAATATAGTCTTGTAAATTGAACAAGTAGTTACTTACCTGATCATATGACCGATTATATTTTTACGAATTGCTTTAACTCTTTCTTCAAGCTTTCTCAACTCAAGCTCAAGACCCTACAATTGATAGAAAGTTGGATAATTAATCTCTCTGAGTTAATACCACTTATAATAACATCCACTTTTAGTCTCTTGACTATAAAATTTTTATAAATGCTCTCTATGAAGAAAGATAAAATTTAGTGTCTTTTAAATATTTTGTATCAAATTTGGTCAATTTATAAAAGTCGAAGACCACTTATAATAACATTCACTTTTAGTCTCTTGACTATAAATAAAAATTTTATAAAAACGAAGAAGGATAATTTTATAAAATTTAGTGTCTTTTAAATATTTTGTGTCGAATTTGGTGAATTTATAAAAGTCGAAGAACTTAAAAAAGAATGAAATAACAATTGAAATGTAAAGTATTAGTAGTACTGCTATAGCTAAGAGATTAAAAAAAAAAAGTTATATTACTCTATAATGTGACAATTGATGATTAATTATCTTCATTTTATTAATCTCAATAAAAATGTCAACATCAAAATTTTATGAGAGGAAGTAGAATTTGGGAGTAGAAATATTACTTTCTGAATTTCGATAAAAAAATTATATGTCTTGCTCTGCCCACTCCCCTGCTTGTATCTAATAATGAAAAGTTTATGGTGGTTACTAATACTAATATGGGTGTAGCTTGTACTTAGAAATAAGTCAAAGACTTTAGATTTTTGCCAGATATAAAAGAAATTAGTACGTATTGACACCATAAATTTTTGAAGTATAAAAAGTGCATCAATGAAAGTGTCACCTCTATTTTCTCTGCTCTTGCAACTGATTCCCAATCCTTTGTAAAAATCCCAGTTTTCCAGTCAAGGCTAACAGTTAAAACCTCACTGGAATTATTGCCATCAATCCTAAAACATGCAACATAGATTCCTTCCTCAGTAGTTGTGAAGCTAAATTCTCCCATTGTCACATTCTCCTTGTGATATAGGTTGTTTCCAAGCGGTGATGTAATCTGCACATTATAAGTAAAAAAGAGATGGTGAAAAATATTTACCAATGCAGTTCAAAACTTCATATATGAAATGTTCATCTGCCATGAAACTCATTCAAACGAAAAATTCAACCAAGTTAGTCGGACTGTTTCTAAATTTGACTTTTAGTGGAAGCGACTCTTTTGGCTTTCTTGGTTCGAGTGGTCAACTATGAATAACTTAAGTTGGTTTATCTTCTTGTGGTGTTTTACTGACTAGGGTTACAAGGTTAGGGTTTATCTTCTTGTGGTGTTTTACTGGCGAGGATCACAAGGTTAGACTTACTCAGTAAACCCCTTCAGTAGTAGTTGCAAGTTTCTCTCTCACCCAAGAAAAAAAAAAACTCATTCAAACCATCATCAATCCAAATTGGATGAAGTTTGGTCCGGGACGATATCGAATTTGAGCATGTTGGGTAGGGTTGGTAAAGGGGTCATGTCTAGTACGGCTGGAAAATTGTTGGGCAGAAGCCATAAAGCCCTTAAGGGCCAAGTCCAATATCCAATTTGTCTCGAAATGTGATGTTGGTCTATAATTAAGGAAATAAGTTGCGCATTCGCCAGTAGCTATAGCTTTTGGCTTGGTAAACTTTTGATCTTAACAAGTGATATCACAATTAAGAATAATAATCAGTAAAGCCCCAAATAAGACACTTATCAATGCAATAGTTACAAATTAGAAACTCAATTTAGCTAACAAAACATACCAATTTTACAAAAACAAAAATAATGGAATGACTAAAGTTTGATGGGTTGTGAGCGAAGATCTGTGAAAAATCTCAACCTCAAAACAGCTACATCACAGAATCTCTGCTTCTGTTCAGTCTCAATAGCACTTCTAATTCAATCGACCTATTCATAACGCAAAACTATTCCTTTTCTATACAGAATTCTATCGAATATATGGAGTGAGTTAGGCAAAATTCATACCAAATCCATTGTTCTAAATCCAATCAAAATCAATGTACTTTTGTACTAGTAAAAACATGAATGGTGAGGAGGAGATTTAAGGGGGAAAAGGTTTAACCTCGACGGCCATGGTGGGGGCGGGGTCGTCGCGTGTAGACGAGAAAGAATAGTAATTTCCGAAAACGATTACGTCGGCGTAGATTTTCTCCGACAGGCACTTGGAGCCGGTCGCCGGCAAATGAAACCAAATGCCTTCGCCATTCTCTGAGAGTACGAAGAGGATCGTCAGCGACAGCAGCCATTTGCGAGCTCTCTCCCTCGCCATTTTTCCTTCTTTCTCTCGATCTCCCTCTGCTCTGTATGTCCGTTTCGGATTTTGGCGTCCGTTCACGCTCTCCGGACTTAAATTCTAGCCTGCAAAAACGAATTGTTGAAATCCCGCGAACGTAAACTCGTCAGTTTACAAATTCATAAACCCGGTTTTTTTTTTTTTTTTCCTTCGAGAGTTTTTAATTTTTTATGGTTAAGACTTTTTTTTTTTTTTTTTTTTTTTTTTTTTCATTTGAGCATCATCATTATTTTGAATAGGTTTTTGAGAAAAAGAATAGGTCGAGGAAAGATGAATATGTTTTTGAAAAGGCTAAGCTTGGGTGGAGGAAAGAAAAAGAACATTGGTCTTTGTTGAAGGACCAATGTTTTTGTTAGTTTCGTGGGTCCCACCAAGATTTATACATCTAGTCGAGTGCATAAATCTTTTTAATATTTTTTTTAAATTTTTCAGATTTTGATTTTATTTTTTATTTTTTCTCTCGTTTTTCATATTTTCTTTTCTAGTCATACTTAAAAAGGAGTTAATTCCACCGGAGGTCTCTTGTCTTTGGTGGCAATTCCAAATTTAGTCCCAGAATATCGTTTTTGCAATTTACATCCCAGACTATCGTTTTTAGACACTTTTAGTCCTTCTCATGTTTTTTTTTTTTTTTTTTTTTAATAAGGACATTTTTGTCTCTTCATATTTTTCTTTGGTTATTTTTCCGGTTTCAACCAGTTTAATTGGTTTAAGACTTTACTAAAAATTTGTTGAAAAATATGATTACTAAAAATCAAAGGTTACCTACCCATTAAACTGGTTGAAACCGAAAAAATAACAAAAGAAAAATATGAAGAGACACAAATGCCCTTATTAAAAATAGAAAAAATCATGAGAAGGACTAAAAGTGTCCAAAAAACAATAATATGTGATGTAAAATGACAAAAACGATAATTTTGGACTAAATTTAAAATTGTCACAAAAAACAAGGGACCTCCGGTGGAATTAACTCTTACAAAAACTACAATGATTAATTAAAAAAATAAAGGTGAGTTATATTTTAACGGTCTAAATGTGCCGCAACTAATATTATGCATAAAGTTCAACTTAATAAATAACTAAATTTATTCCTAATTCATGCATTTTTAAAGACATAATAAAATCTCATAATTTAAACAACAAAATATTATGCAATGAAGAATAGCGCATAAAATTAAATCAACATGCTCACATTCCAAACAAATTACATCACTTAAAACAATATAATACAAGCAATATTATCAAAATCAGAATTCAAATGTTAAAACAAGTTACGAAATTAATGTTTGAAACGACAATAAATATGCTTTTCCAAAATTTTTAAATTGATTAAATATGCTCCACACAGTCCACATCACAATTAATAATATTCTTTGAATTTTTTTTGCAAATAGTCCAAAATTATACTCGTAATAAATAGCCACAACAATATTATAATGATTAGAAGACTAAATATGGAAAACCATTTGTCAAAATCGCAAGCCTCTAAAATATTATTTTCGAAAGAAAAAAACATTAATGCCCAAAAAGGCTATAATTAAAAATTTTGACCGGATCATATCCGAATAAGGAAATACTTAGGTGGTTAAGATGCTAAAGTTTTTTACCATTAACATTCTTCCAAAAGGCTGAACCCCAATCTTAAGAGCTTTTTACTATTAACATTCTTTTCACACTGAGTGAAGCATGGTTTCCGTATCGAAAGATTACAAATTCGATTCTTGTAACACTCTTTCGATTGAGGGCATAAAATTTACCCAATATACATTATATATAATGATTGCAAATTTTCCTTATTAACTAAAATCCAGCGGTGACATATTTAAAAAATATAATTTAATTATATTGTGTTCTTTAACTATTAACAAATTTGCTATCATCGTTTTTTTTTTCTTTTAATATAACTTATATGCTTGGTGTTATTTTTTCAATACAATATAATGATACATAGCAATAAACTACAAGAAGGTGGTTAGGTCACAACAATATAATCTATTGTCGAAAATAAAACTTTGAACTCCCAACCTTATGCTTAAATAATTAATTCAAGTCTTTACCCAATCCAACTAACTCTTTTGATAAATATATGTTATTTTACATGTGAAGATGTAAAATAAAAAATAAACTAGAGGCTAATGACCAATTAGGCACTTAATATGGCAGTGATCCGGTTCTCTTCATTCATTTGTCAAAATTAATATCGATTAGCTATTTTCCATTTATTGTGAAGTCTTTTTAATGTATAGAGCATTTAATAATTACTCGTACTTCGCAAGTATTAAATATGCATAAAATGTATTATTGTTACATTTTCTTCTCCCTATTGTAATATTGTTACATTTTCTTAATTGAGTGTTAAATATGTCATGAAAATATTTTAAATTTTTATATTAATGAGGCTTGAACAGTTGAATCTAAGGGCATCCTCAAAAAGTCATATAAAGTGTGGCTGAAGTTAACGCTATGACTTCTGATTCCCTCTCGTTCGTTCCGCCACCACCGACGGTAGCCAACAGGTCACCGGAGGAGCAAGATCTCCTCGAAAGAAGCACCAAGAAAACTAAGAGAGGACGCGATGTGTTAGAAGGGGCTTCGGAGCTAAGGTCTGAAGAGCCCTCTGAGAATACAGGGGGAGTAGGCACCCCGGACTCCGGCCAGTGGAGAACACCGGCGGTAACCCCAGTCGAAGCTTGGAATAGACGCGAAGGAAAACAGCCACTGGAAGAATTGGATGATTCGGAGGACGAGACGATGGAAGAAATTGAAACAAGAAATGGATATCCGGTTATCCATGTTTCAAAAGAAGAGAAAGAAAGATTGAGAAGACCTTGGCACTGCTCTCTAATCATTCGCTTATTGGGGAGAACCGTAGGATACTCATTCCTGCTTCAAAGACTTCAGCGCATGAGGCGACCAGAAGCTCCCTTTGAATTGATAGCACTGAATAACGATTTCTACTTGCCTAAGTTCGAATCAATTAGGGATTACGAAGCAGCCAAGTTCGGAGGACCTTGGATGGTGTTCGACCACTACCTAACCGTTCAACAATGGCGCCCTAACTTTGATACAAGAATCTGCAAGATGGAGAAACTTCTAGCGTGGATTCGTTTCCCTTCGCTACCAATTGAGTATTTCGACGAAAGGTTCCTCAAGAAAATCGGAAAGACAATCGGCCGCCCCATCAAGACCGACACAACAACAAGTATTGCCACCAAAGGGAGGTTTGCAAGGGTGTGCATCGAGTTTGATATTACGAAGCCCCTCCTTTCGAGATTTGTACTGGATGATGTCGAGTGGCCTATTGAATATGAAGGAATCTATCTGGTTTGTTTTAAGTGTGGCGTTTACGGACATCGCCAGGAAAACTGTACTGGGTGTGGAAATAACAACACACAGGAGCAAAATGGAACACCAGAACCACCTGCTAAGACCAGTACAATGCCAACAGAGAGATATGGTTCTTGGATGTTGGTCACGAGAAGGGATAGAAGGAGCACTGCTAGACAGCAAAACAAGCAGACGAATCCCTCGGCCAGAACAGCCCCGCGAAGCAACGCTTTGAACGAAGGTCAAACGGGTGGGAATCTAGTGGAACAAACTATGTTTGATGCGTTGGATGGCCTTGAGGAGGAGGCCAGCGCATATGGACAAAACCCGCAACCAGAAACGACCACATTGCAACAGCCCCCCGTTGTGCTACCACAAATACGTACTAACTACAGAGGACCTCAGCCCCAGAAGGAGCCATCCTTTATCCATCACCACCAAGAGACTGCCGAGCATAGTGCGGCACAACAACAACATCAACTCACAGGATGTGGAGGATATCGTGGACATAGTGGAAGAGGAGGAACCCCCAATAGAGCGGCGGCAGAAAAAGAGCACACCGTAGTTCGTGGAACAAATGGAGGCAAAAACATCACCAGTAGAGTAGTCTTTCATAACGAGGATCTTCTGGGATTTCCACCTCTCAATGCAACAGTTGAACAACCAAATCAGGTCCCTCTAAACCCTTCGATTCCTTTGGAAAAAGACTTTAGACATGATCCCCTGACCCCATGATTGGGGTGGAGAGGGATTATGTACACAAACCTCCGGATTCTGGTAGGGACAACCTTGAAATGGGCGATCCCCCAGACGCCGCAATGTCGGATAATCCAGAGCAGCCTAATTGTAGCGTCGTAAACCGGCAGCGCCAAGACGCGCCAGCTGCCCCGCATCTTTCTCAATGATAGCTCTTGTTTGGAACTGTCAGGGTGCAGCGTCTAACTCATTTAGACGCACTCTGAAACGGCTCTTGCTTATCCATAAGCCCTCTATTATTTGCCTTTTGGAGCCCAAAATTTCGGGTAACCAAGCTGATAAGGTCTGTACAAGCTTTGATTTTGATGACTGGATCCGGATAGAGGCAGTAGGCTACTCCGGTGGAATATGGCTGCTATGGCGAAAGACGATAAATGTAGAGGTAATTAGTACCCACCCTCAATTCATTACAATTAAAGTGAAGGACCAAGGCTTGGACTTCTGGTTTATTTCCATTGTCTATGGAAGCCCGAATCAATATTTGAGAAGACGGCTCTTCTCAGATCTCCCGGGTAGCACTCTAAATCCCCAATGGCCCTGGGCAGTGATTGGAGATTTCAACGCGGTTACATGTAGGGAGGAGGTTAGCAATACGGAGACCTTCAACCTTTCCAGAAGTTCAGATTTTAATGAGTGGATTTTTTATGAGGGTCTGATAGATCTTGGCTACATGGGATCAAGATTTACATGGATGAGAGGACTCAACTCGGAATCCTTTAAAGGTGCAAGATTAGACAGGGCATTAAGCAACATTCAGTGGAGAATGAGATTTCCAAATGCTATGATTCATCATCTGCCTATTGTGGGCTCTGATCACTCTCCTCTACTTCTTAATACTGCGGGTAACCTGGAGATCAACAAGCCAAGCCACTTCAGATACAACTTGGCATGGTCAACTCACCCCTCTTTTCTCTCTGTAATAAAAGATAATTGGAACTGTGCGACAGATCTAGACTATAACAAAAGAAGGATGACGGAGGTATTGCCCAGATGGAACAAGGAGATATTCGGGAATGTGTTCCAAAGGAAAAGAAGACTGCTTTCAAGGATTGAGGGGACCCAACGAGGAATCTCGCTGAACGCAAGGTCCGATCTAATTAGATTAGACAGAAAGCTGCGTAATGAACTGGATAATACACTATACCAAGAGGAGCTGATTTGGTTTCAGCGCTCTAGAGAAGAATGGGTAACATCGGGAGATAGGAATACTCGGCTCTACCACGCTGCGACGAATGTTAAAAGATCAAATGCGAAGGTCACCAGTTTAATGGCAGAAGATGGCCAGATCCTTACGGAACAGAAGGATATACTAGAACATGTTCGAAGTTATTTTATGGAACTATTCTCAGAGGAAACAAGGGTGAATACACAATGCACACAGCCGGGATGGTTTCCGGTATTAAGTGAGGAGGATTGGTCTAGTATCGACTTGCCACTGTCTAAGGAAGAAGTCAGATTAAATCTATTTGAAATGGCACCATGCAAAGCCCCTGGACCAGATGGCCTCTCGGCTAGCTTTTACCAGAAAACATGGAGCATCGTAGGAGACAGCTTACTAGAGTACGTGAGAAAGTTCTTTGATGATGGGATATTATCACCGGACAGCAATGACACACTGATTTCCCTAATACCTAAAGTTCCCGACCCAAGTAGTATTAAATAGTTCCGCCCGATTAGTCTCTGCAACGTTTCCTACTAGCTCATAACCAAAATCATCTCTACAAGGCTAAAGGGGTTATCCGGAAAATTGATAGGCCCGCATCAAACAAGTTTCGTGCCAGGAAGACAAATATCAGACAATGTACTAGTATACCAAGAAGCTCTCAACTCAATGAAGGGGAAGAAAGGCAGTAAAGGTTGGATGATGATGAAAGTTGACTTGGAGAAGGCTTATGACAAACTTTCATGGATTTTCATCAAAGATACCCTCCAAGACGCTGGCTTTAATAACAAATGGACGAGACGCATAATGGAATGCATTACATCAACTAAGATGTCCATACTATGGGATGGCCATAAAACCCATTGGTTCAAACCAGGAAGTGGAATTCGCCAAGGGGATTCCATGTCACCCTTAATCTTTGTACTTTGCATAGAAAGACTTAGCCATATAATTCAAGACTCTCTAAATAGAGGGTGTTGGAAAGGTATGAGATTAGCTAGACATGGACCTGACATCATACACCTCTTTTTTGCAGACGATTTAGTATTGTTTGGAGAAGCAACGGAACGACAAGCTTTGGAGATGAAGAGGTGCTTGGATGAATTTTGCGCATGTTCAGGACAGAGGATCAGCCTGATGAAATCCACCATCTTTTTCTCCAAGAATGTGGGAGAGAGTTTAAGACAAAGTATAGCCTCTATAGCAGGTTTCCCAATCGTGTCCGATCTAGGTACCTATTTGGGGATCCCCTCAATACATGGTAGACTCAAAAGTGAATCCTTCGCTGCTATTTTGGAAAGAATTCAGGCGCGTTTGTCAGGTTGGAAATCAAAAACACTTTCCCTAGCAGGAAGAATCACGCTAGCCCAATCGGTTCTTTCGGCAATCCCTTTCTATTCAATGCAAACAATGCTAATACCGGTAGGAGTTACGGAACGCATTGAGAAGCTTATTAGGGGTTTCATCTGGGGTAGCAAGGAAGGCGAAAGGAAGTGCCACCTAGTCAATTGGGATACAATAACCAGAAGTAAAGCGAGTGGAGGGCTGGGCATTCACAAGCTACAACAAATGAACCTGGCATTCCTTGCCAAACTGGGCTGGAGACTAATGCAGGATGAAGAAAGTCTTTGGGTTAAAGTCATGAGAACCAAATACAATATAACAGACATGGATCCCTCGAAATGGAAACACAAACAAAATCAGTCTAATGCTTGGAAAGGAATACTCAAAGCCGTGCCAATTCTCCAAAAAGGACTGAGGAAGCTAGTTGGTAATGGAAACAACACACTCTTTTGGACTGACAAATGGATACATGGAAAACCTCTAATCGAGGTGGTAACTAGTCCTGTGCCGGAATCCGAACAGAACAGAATGGTGGCAAGCTATTGGAAGCCGGAAGAAGGATGACAGTGGGACGAGTTTGATTCTCTACTGCCAGCAGAAATCTTGAGCAAGATAGCAGCCTACCTGCCGAGCGAAGATCAAGAGAGTCAAGACAGTATTAACCGGAGCAAGGAATCATCAGGCAGTTTTACGGTAATATCAGCCTACAGGATAGCTTTGGGGGAAGACGATCAGGTTGAACCCTCCAAATGGAACAATATTTGGAAACTCAAAGTTCCAAATAAGATTAGAACATTCATGTGGCTTGTGGCTGATGGTAGAATCATGACTAACAGTGTTAGAATGAAGAGGAGGATTGCATTGGATGACAAATGCGGCCACTGCGGGGACAAAGTGGAGGATGTGGAGCATGTTCTTAGGTCATGTCCTGAAGCAATACCTGTTTGGGAAGCCGTGCTGCCCAACTCTCGGGCAAACTCTGCAATGTTGCCCTTTGAAAATTGGATGGAACAAGGTATAACGGGGAAGAAGACTGGAAGACATCCTTTCGACAGCAGTGCTCTTTTCGCAGTTACGGCCTGGTGGATATGGAGGTGGAGGAACGAAGCTGTGTTTAACAACACCAAGTATCCCCTCAATGCTAAAATTTCTTGGATTAATTCCCAATTGGAAGACATTGACAGGGCTCTAAAGAAGGCCAAAATAGGTGTTCAACCCCAGAGCCATTCAGCCTGGAAACAGCTAGCATGGTCTAAACCACCGCATGAGTTTATAAAAATGAACGTCGATGGATTAGAAAACCCCGCGACCGGCAGAGCGAGCTGCGGAGGTGTGGCGAGGAATCACTTCGGGGAATGGATGCAGGGCTTCTCTTATAGCATTGGTAATTGTACACCATTTGAAGCTGAGGCATGGCCTTTGCTTAAAGGAATTCAGCTGGCAGTATCAAGGGGTTTCACAAAGGTAGTATTTGAGACCGACGCGGAAGAAGTTGCAAGGTTCATTAATTGTGAAAGCAGGCATAGAACTACAGCCCACAACGTTTTAGAAGCCTGCAAAAAGGAGCTAAGAGCGTTTGAAACTTGGCAAGTTGCTCCAATTTATAGAAATCAAAATCAAGCTGCGGATGCAATGGCGAAACTTGCCTCTCGTCTCCCTCCCGGTCTTCATATCAAAACAGAACCATCGGACGAGATAAGAGGTCTCTTAGAAGATGACGCCTCTGGAATACCCAGATGGCGTGAAGTACTTTGTTAGCTATGTTTAAAATGTATTGTTCTTGGGTATACCCCTTCCCCATAAAAAAAAAAAGGGCATCCTCAATAGTGGTAGGATTTTGAAAAGATTTTGCAAGTGTGATTAGGAAAGAGAAATGGGTAAAAAGAAAAAAAAAAGGAAAAATAAAAACAAAATAAAAAACTGAAAAAACCCTCAACCCACCCCCTCACCCTCCCAAATCCCCTAAAATCTCCAAAATTTTGACAAAATCCTTTAAATAATCTAACAACTCCAACCCTCTCTCTTCTCTCTCCTCCAACACATCAACTTTTTCTTAAAATATGTGTAGAATCCCCCTAATGGGGATGCCCTAAGCCGAAGTACGACAAATTATTGTGTGTATTACGGTACAAAACTACGTCTTTTAAGAACTTATCCACTTACCCAGTACAAATATGATGGCAATTTAAATCGTGGGTCAGCGTTCAAATAGCATTATGGATCCTGAATCGAAACGACGAGGTACAAAATTTCATAACACAAGAACACAAGACACATACACATGTTATATATGTACATTTTTCAAATATGATTTATGTACATAATTTGTGTTCATAAGCACATAATTTCACATCACAATACACATAAATTCATAATATAAGACACAATTACTAATTTGTTTCAGATACAGATTTCATACTCTCTTAAAATACAAAATTTAATAACACAAGATACAAAAGCTCACAACATAAAACACATACACATACACCAATGTTCATAGTGCATGGTGAACTCTGACCTATGATATAAGGATTGAAATATCATTAGTCAGGATGGACAATCGTCATGCCATGGAATCGTGTTCACCATGGATGGTGAACACGGTCCTAGACGGTAACGGTGCCCGTAAGTGGCACCGTTATCTTCCACCAATATATATATATATATATATATATATATATATATATATATATATATATATATATATATATATATATATATATATATATATATATATATATATATATATATATATATATATATATATTTTAATTAACAGCGCGACTGTTTTTTATTCATTTTCACATTTCCCGGTTTTACTTCCTTTTCGCGCAAGCTTCTTCAACACTCATAAATTATGAATGTGCAGACATGGATTTATGAATGTGCAGTTATGAAATTATGAATTTTCTGTTATGAGATTATAAATTTACAGAAAATTCATAATTACATAACTGTAAATTCATAATCTCATAACAGAAAATTCATAATTTAATAAATGTTTTTCTTTTATGAGATTATGAATTTACAAAAAATTCATAATCTCATAACAGAAAATTCATTATTTAATAAATGTAAATTCATAATCTAAACATAGAATGCAAAACACCATTAATAGCACATTAAATAAATAAGAAAATTCCATAAAAATGACATCGTTTTGAAACGTGTTCACAAAGCATGGTGAATACGTTTCCACGGCATAATTTACGCTGGATGGATGGGGTCTTAATGGACCATACATCCCTAACCCAGCAAACTTGTGGGTCGACAAAAAATTACTAAAAATGTTTTAAAAATTGTAATAATTAGATACGGGCATACGATAATTTATATAATTGACTAGGATCCACATAATATTATGGACTTTGAATTGAAATAACAAGGTACATAATAATTTCATAACACAAAATATAAAAAAATTACAACACACGACACATAACATAATATTATATCCCAGCTGCATTGAAAAGATGATGTATAAAATTCATACTTGTATCGCACGTTTGGTTAGCGGAATGAATTTTGAAGTAATAGGAATGTTATTCCATAAGAAATGGAATATGCTATGGAATAGGTAAAGAATATAATAGAAATTGTATTATATTGTTTGGTTCTCTTTTCAACAAAAAAAAAAATATTGTTTGGTTCGGTGAAGGAATATACTTTAAGAATGTTAT